CTGTAGTCAGCCGCTGGTCAGTTTCAGCAGCGGCTGAATCTGGACGCCAGTTCCGACTTACATACAGATTCAACTTAAGAACAAACCTACAGTCCCTATCTTGTACATAACCCGGGGACTGCCTGTACTCTACTTGCTGCTCTCTGGGAACAGGGTAAAGGAGGGGAAAAAAGTAAAAGGATGATAAATATTCTTAATTTGTGTGACGGGGAAGTCTTGATTCTGAAAACTTCAAAGTGATTTGGTCCTACTTGTACTGCCCCCCTAGTCTTTTAAAAGAAGAATGAACAGTTCTTCCCTGTTCATGTTTTTGTTTCTTCAACAGGGAAGAGTGGGCAGGTCTAAGACAAACATGCTGAGCACATTCTGTCAGGAAGGACAGACAGGGAAAAAAGGGAGGAGGGGTTGCCTTGTATATTAAAAATGTACACACTTGGACTGAAGTGGAGATGAACGTAGGAGATAGCTGTGTAGAGAGTCTCTGGGTTAAGCTAAAAGGGGTAAAAAACGAGGGTGATATCATGCTAGGAGTCTACTACAGGCCACCTAGCCAGGTGGAAGAGGTGGATGAGGCCTTTTTTAAACAATTAACAAAACTATCCAAAGCCCAAGATTTGGTGGTGATGGGGGACTTCAACTATCCAGACATATGTTGGGAAACTAACACAGCGAGGCACAGGCTATCCAATAAGTTTCTGGACTGCATTGGAGACAACTTTCTGTTTCAGAAGGTTGAAAAAGCTACCAGAGGAGAAGCTGTTCTGGATTTGGTTTTAACAAATAGGGAGGAACTAGTTGAGAACTTGAAAGTGGAAGACAGTATAGGGGACAGTGATCATGAAATAATAGAGTTCATGATCTTAAGGAAAGGTAGAAGGGAGACCAGCACAATTGAGGTTATGGATTTCAGGAAGGCAGATTTTGATAAGCTCAGAGAACTTGTAGGTAAGGTCCCATGGGAAGCAAGACTGAAGGGAAAAACAACTGAGGAGAGTTGGAAGTATTTCAAAGGGACGTTGTTAAGGGCCCAAAAGCAAACAATTCCGCTGTGTAGGAAAGATAGAAAATATGGCAAAAGACCAGCTTGGCTTAACAAGGAGATCTTGCATGATCTCAAAATAAAAAAGGAGTCATATAAAAAATGGAAACTAGGACAACTAACAAAGGATGAATATAGGCAAGCAACACGGGAATGCAGGGGCAAGATTAGAAAGGCAAAGGCACAAAATGAGATCAAACTAGCTACAGGCATAAAGGGAAACAAGAAGACCTTTTATAAATACATTAAAAGCAAGAGGAAGACCAAGGACAGGGTAGGCCCACTGCTTAGTGAGGAGGGAGAAGCAGTAACAGGGAACTTGGAAATGGCGGAGATGCTCAATGACTTCTTTGTTTCGGTCTTCACCGAGAAGTCTGGAGGTGTGCCTAACGTAGTGAATACAAGCAGAGAGAGGGTAAGTTTAGAAGATAGGATACACAAAGAACAAGTTAAAAATCACTTAGGAAAGTTAGATGTCAGCAAGTCACCAGGTCCTGATGAAATGCATCCCAGGATACTCAAGGAGCTGATAGAGGAGGTATCTGAGCCTTTAGCTATGATCTTTGAAAAATCATGGCAGACAGGGGAGATTCCAGAAGACTGGAAAAGGGCAAATATTGTGCCCATCTATAAAAAGGGGAATAAGAACAACCCAGGAAATTATAGACCGGTCAGTTTAACGTCTGTCCCAGGGAAGATAATGGAGCAGGTAATTAAGGAAATCATATGCAAACACTTGGAAGGTAATAAAGTGATAGGGAATAGCCAGCATGGGTTTGTGAAGAACAAGTCATGCCAAACTAATCTGATAGCTTTCTTTGATAAGATAACGAGCCTTGTGGATAAGGGAGAAGCGGTGGATGTCATATACCTAGACTTTAGTAAGGCATTTGATACGGTCTCGCATGATATTCTTATTGATAAACTAGGCAAATATAACTTAGATAGGGCCACGATAAGGTGGGTGCATAATTGGCTGGATAACCGTAGTCAGAGAGTTGTTGTTAACGGTTCTAAATCCTGCTGGAAAGGGATAACAAGTGGAGTTCCTCAAGGGTCTGTTTTGGGACCCGTACTGTTCAATATCTTCATCAATGATGTAGATATTGGGATAGAGAGTACTCTTATTAAGTTTGCAGATGATACCAAACTGGGTGGGGTTGCGACTTCTTTGGAGGATAGGGACATAATTCAGAATGACCTTAGCAAGTTAGAGAAATGGTCGGAGGTAAACAGGATGAGGTTTAATAGAGAGAAATGCAAAGTGCTCCACTTAGGAAGGAACAATCAGTTCCATACATACAAGATGGGAAGCGACTGTCTAGGAAGGAGCATGGCGGAAAGGGATCTAGGGGTCATAGTGGACCACAAGTTGAATATGAGTCAACAGTGTGATGCTGTTGCAAAAAAAGCAAATATGATTCTAGGTTGTATTAACAGGTGTGTTGTAAGCAAAACTCGTGAAGTCATTCTGCCGCTCTACTCTGCGCTAGTTAGGCCTCAGCTGGAGTACTGTGTCCAGTTCTGGGCGCCACATTTCAAGAAAGATGTGGAGAAATTGGAAAGGGTACAGAGAAGAGCGACAAGAATGATTAAAGGTCTAGAGAACATGACCTATGAAGCCAGGCTTCATGAACTGGGCTTGTTTAGTTTGGAAAAAAGAAGATTAAGGGGGGACATGATAGTGGTTTTCAAATATCTAAAAGGGTGTCACAAGGAGGAAGGAGAAAATTTGTTCCTCTTGGTTTCTGAGGACAGGACATGGAGTAATGGGCTTAAAGTGCAGCAGGGGAGGTTTAGATTGGACATTAGGAAAACATTCCTAACTGTCAGGGTGGTCAAATATTGGAATAAATTGCCAAGGGAGGTGGTGGAATCTCCCTCTCTGGAGATATTTAAGAACAGGTTAGATAGACATCTGTCAGGGATGGTGTAGACGGAGCTTGATCCTGCCTTGAGGGCGGGGGGCTGGACTCGATGACCTCTCGAGGTCCCTTCCAGTCCTATGATTCTATGATTCTATGATTATGCCACAATATTTAACTTCAGGATAAAAATGCTGTAATTAAGGAACGCATAGATATGAAATTACCACTTTTATTATAAAAATGCTAATATCGGTAATACTGTATCCTTATTTTATACATGGGGAAACTGAAGCAGAAGTGTCTTATCCAAGCCCCCAAAATAAATTAGTATCTGAGCTGGGATTAGAGTTTGGGAGTTGCTTGTTTTCAAATCTTTGCTCAGACTACATCTCTTTTTTTTTCTAGCTTTAGGGAGGATGGTAGAGGCATGTGTAAATAGTGAAAAATCAAAGAATCTAAAACTGAGCTTTGTATAGACTTTCTGGCAAGTAAAAGTGTATAGCTCTGCATCAGATACAGTGTTGTCATAGGGTTAATTCCTGGCAAACTGAAATGTCTGCCAGCTGCGCTGGGAAGTCTCAGAGATACTATGTTTATAGGAGTGGCTTTTGAGGTCAGGAAAATCCTTTTCTTAGGCCAAACTCCTCCAGGGTCCATTTGGATGGGTAGTATGAAATACTGACCTTTTGACCAGTGTGCAAGTGGTGCATGAGTGTTTCTGTGTTCAGAGGTACCCAGATGGTTCCAAGCCAACGTATTTCTTTTCTAAGAGAGGTCTTCAATCATTAAAGTTGAGAGCTGAATCAGTTTCATACTATATATGGTGTTTGTGCAAGTGATAGAAATCTGAGTGTATTTATAACACTGGTTTGCTGCAGTAATGTGGATTGGGAACAAATGCTTTTTTGGATAATAGCCAGTGCTTCGGATTGGTTTTACAGTGGCATGTAAAATCAGTATGCAGCTTGTAAAGACATTTGAAAAACTGATAGTGACTGGTTTAAAATTCAGCTTGAATATGGAGAAACATTTTATTCCTAGATACATACTTGTGAGCAGGATGATAGTAGACTGTTACAAGTTGATAAATGCTGCACCTTTGGAATGCTGAGATGTCCTTATTCCAGTACTTAGAAATTCCTGATTTTACTTACTTAACACATCAGGACGGGAATTTTGTATATATTTTTCTGCTTTGTGTAGTGATAGGTCTATCCTCTTTTAATTACGTATGCCTTAAGTGTAATGCTGTACAAGTGTTGTGATCGGAGAATATTACATAGCATTGAAATGAAAAAATCCAGTCATGAAAGGATCTGAGCTTCTTTGCATACTGCTAATAAATATTTGAACAAAAATAGTTGACCAAAAATGACACAAGTGTTGTGGGTGTGTCAGTTTAACTGTTTATGATGAGCACAGCAGCTTTTTTTGACACACCTCATTTGCTAGATCTTTGTAATTCTACATGGATAACTGTTGTATATGGAGCCTGTATGAGGTAATGACTGATTGCATGTACTTTTCCCATAGTCTGGAATGTAAATGAACTGTAGTTTTTCTTCATTTTCTAAGATGTTCAGTGTTTGTTTTGTTCTAGGATGGTCAGAAAGAGAGAGAAACACACACATATCTCAGTAAAGAAGAAGTTAAAGAAAAGATTCAAAACTACAATTCATCTGTTACTGACAAATTAAAGATGACTCTGGTAAGATTCACATAGAGCCACAGCAGTTAATAATTGAGCAGCTGAATGTAATTCCATAGAGTGAATTATTTGTTATTTTGTCTATAGCATTTTTCATGTGAATCTCTGGCTAAATGACTTTGTAATGTACTGTAGAAAAAGGGTAATTAGTTAGTCATGAAATGTAATTAAACCACTTTCACCCTTCATTTATTTGGGGTGAAAGGGATAAGGGTAGAAACCACAAACTTGTACATGGTGTTGAGATGTTAACATGAACTCTCGGATGTCATATGAAAGTGGATTCCTTCTGTCAAAATTCTCAGTTGTACCAGTACAACCAGCACAGGGAGAATATGGCTATCTGTCTCTTATAAAACTATATTACCATGGCATCCAAATATGTTAAATCAAGCAAAAATGATTTTTAAAGTAGTTTTTCAATGTGATCCGGGTATAAATAATATTTTTATATTATAATTAAGATAAAATCCACACTGATAAATCTTCTGTATTAGTTCTAGGATTCAGTCTATTAATAAAATCTGTATTTACCTGGCTAGAACATTATAACTCAATCTGAATATAAATTATCAGATCTTTTTATGTTATTAGATATACTGCCCATCCAAACTTGGAAGTTATGTTACATTCTTAACCAGTTTATAATATATATGCAAGCTGTATCTACTAATCTGATTTGTGTTATGTATTTTCATGTAATTTGGAACTAATACTTGTAAAAGCATGTTGCCAAAAGTCCTGTAGCTCAGTAGCATTTGACTAATCATTTATTTTGATACTAATTACAGTAAGAAACTTTCCATGTTGGTTAAGCTTGTATAAAGTTTAATCTGAGCTATTCAAAGGAGCCTATGTTTATTAAGCACCCAATTCCCATTAAATTGCAACAGAATTTGCACACCTAACTCCCTTTGACAATCATAGCTTTAAGCATTGCACAGTTGTGTATAACATTATATTTTGTATTTGTGCACAGTTATATTGTAGAGTGTGCTTTACATATAAAGTGCATGCAAATGTATCTACACCTATATAATATTACAAACACAAACACATAAAAATTCAGTTGGGTTGCAAAATCAAGTGCTCAAAAGCAAAGGAAATGGCAGAATTTCAGCTTTCTTGTGCATATATGTTATGTAGTCTTCAATGAGCAGATATTCAGTATTTTGTCATCCTTGTTTTTCAGTGTTTGGCCCCAAGCCTATTCACCACACATTATTCAGACCCTGATCTGAATATTAATTTCCTCACAGACTTTTCTGCAGCACTGATAGTATCTGTTTCACAAATACTAATAATATAACTCCCCCATGAGGTGAGAGGATAGTATAAATGAGGAACTGAGACACAGAGAGATGACAAATACCCACTAATTTTGGATGCCCCATTTGAAACACTTTTCAGGATACTAGGCTGATATACCACTTCACAATATTCAAAGCACAGCTCCCACTGACTTCCACTACAGCTGTGAGAGCTCAGAGCTTCTGCAAATCAGACACCAGGCTCTCAAGTCAGGCCCTTAGAAAACAAAGAACACGCAATTAGTGACCACCTGTGTGAAAAGTTTTGGCTTGCATACAGTGGCTAGCATCCCATAGGAACTCTACAGCAGAAGCAGGAATAGAATTCAGTGCTCCCATAACCCTTGCTTGATTTACTACACACTTTCCAGCTTCTGCAACAAATAAGACAGGGAACCTTTAGATAACCGATTTCTTTAGCACACATCCTGAACTTATTCCCACCACCAGAGTGTCAGGGGTCCATGGGGAAAAAACATTATATGACAAGGTAATTAAAGACCGTAATACAATGCATATGCATAAGGAGGCCATATCAAGAATGTACAGCAACTTCTGGCACTTCTGTTTTTGAGTGCTTGACTTTGCTCCCTTAATAATGTTCTTTTACCACTCTGTGTTTTCTTAGGTTTTTTTTTCTTTTAAGCAAACAGAAAAAATAAATTCCATCATGTTGAGATCATTCCAATGCTGCTAATAACCTGTTAGATACATACGCACACACACCAGCTACTGGATTAACTGATCACAGTAGTAGGATGTTATCCTCTGTGGAGCAGTATGCAGAGCAGGGAGAATGGATACTTCCCTTTTCTAGTGGGTTTGGCAAAGTTATAAGCAACTGAAAACGAAGCCTTGTAATGGGAAATGTGCACCCTAATATTCGGTATTGCTACCAACTCTGTCCATTTAAGTATTTGAATGTGTTTGTGGACAAGTTCATGACAGTCTTAAATTTCTAGATTCAAATATGTGTTTTGGTTTCATTCTTCTTACATATAGATTATTTCAGTGGCATTTTTCTCAAGCCTGATCATTTTTTCCTTTGTCCTTTTTTAAAAAAATGTATTTTTAAAGTGTAAGGAAACCATCAAACAAATTTTCATTTTTACAGTTTTGTAAATTTACAATTCATAACCGATATTAGAATGGATTATTTTGTGTTGTCACGGTTTAAATTACAGGGTCTCACATGTTTCCTGACTAACTGTGAATAATAAATTTACAATGTAAAATAACAAACCTGTATCTTGCAAACTTATCTCCACTTTTTCCCCAACTACCTACAGTGTGATCTCAAAACAAAACATGGATTAATTGCTTTTACACAGTAGTGAGATCTACACTTTGCATCCTGCTAAAACAGAACTCTGGCAGCTTGTTGGGAATACCAGTTCTCTGTTTGTAGTGTTTCCCTTTTTCCACTATGAGGTTGCTTCATAATTTTTCTACCAAGACTGAAAATTTACCATTAGTTTCCATAGGATCTTTTGCTTGATGCCTGTCTATATTATCTCTGTAATTCCAAATACTAAAGTGAATTCTGTGGCAGCCACAGAAGGATAGAGGAATGTGTCTCTAAAGTGAATTCTGTGGCAGCCACAGAGGGATAGAGGAATGTGTCTGACCATGTAAAACACTGACTTATACAAAAATTATTTGCTTCATGTATTATGACAACATATTTTAATGAATCTGTTGCAATCTGTCCTTTATTACTATTGATGCTGTCATAATAAATAGATCAGTATTCATTTTTATACTATGTTTTGCTTTTCTTCCTGCTGCAGAACTCAAATGGGACTTATACTGGCTTCATCAAAGTTCATATGGAACTATGCAGGCCTATTACTGTACAGACTGCTGTGAATCCAGGAGAGCATGCTCACAATAACAATGAGACTGCATTTTACTTGCCTGCAGGCTACGTGAATACGCTTCATATAAGCAGCGCTAACAGTGTTCGTGAAGTTATTGAGGCCTTGCTCAAAAAATTTTTAGTGTCTGACAACCCTGCCAAGTTTGCACTTTATAAACGCTGTCACAAGGAAGATCAAGGTATAATTTGGATGTGTTGTCTTTTGAGGTTTGAATGGGTAAAGTGTCTGGGTTGGGAGGTGTACTATAGCTATGTTTGAGATGAGCAGGATGGAAGAAGTGATGATGATTCTTTCATTTCCATAAATTTATGTTCCAGGTTCTTACCCTCTCTAGGTGTGTATGTGTATGCAGGAGTGCCTTGTGGTCAGATGGGATATTTTTTCAGGTATTTGTAGGGCAAGATGAGAGAGCATTATTATTTGAGGAGGGAGGTCCCCAGGGTTTGTTCTTGTGTGGAGACATCGTCGTTTATGTAATGTATGGTAAGATGTGTTGGGAATAAGGACATATAGTGAATAAAAATATCTGAATAGAAAGATTTGTATTTTTTTTTTAATCTTTATACTTACGGGGATGAGGATTTGCTGAAGTGGGTAATAGCATGATGGAGATTGCAAGTCTCCTAGTCAGATGATATGTGGGACTTGGCTGTTTGTCTGTGAGGTTTGTAGTCCCTCATAAAAGGGAATGGGGATCCGCTCTGAGGATCCAGAAAGTGATTTTCAGTGATTTTTGGGTGACTATCAGTCCTTTTGAAGGTTCTTTTCATTGTGATTATGGGGTTAGTTGCTAGGGCGGATAGGAGAGACATGAGCTATGGTTAAACAACGAGAAGTCCTGTGGCACCTTATAGACTAACAGATTTATTGGAGCATGAGCTTTCGTGGGCAAAGACCCACTTTGTCAGATGTATGTAGTAGAAATTCCAGAGGCAGGTATAAATATACAGGCATGTGAAAAGAAAGGAATACCAATCAAGAGGAAGGCTATAGATAACGAGGTCAATTCAGTCAGGGAGGATGTGGCCTACTTCTAGTAGCTGATGTGTAGGTGTGAACACCAAGAGAGAAGAAACTTCTGAGAGTTATGGTGTCTGCTATATGTAGGCGGTTGTGGATTTCCATAATGATGGAATGGATTGACGCAATATCTGCCAGAAATTGGGACTTGGATGAGATTTATGATAAGACTGAGACAACGTTTAGTAAATCTGAGGAAGCAAGCAAAAAAATTGGATAGTTATATGAACTTATTATTTTAAAAATAATAAAATAGCCAAAAATGAATAGGCATCTAGATACTGTCACCTACACTCTACATTGTGGCTGATGTGTAGGTGTGAACACCAAGAGACACTCTACATTGTGACTCAGTGTGAGATAGTAAATATTAATTTCTTAAGTTTTAAACTTATCTTTAGACTGATTGGAAAATGGATCCTAGAGCAATAAAGTTTCAATGATCCATTTACCTGAAATAGAACAGAATTAGTTGTTTAAGTCTGTTAATGTGCTTGATGTGATTCTCTCCTGGGTTAGTTAATCTGTACACAGAGAAATCTCTCCTTGTACTAAATGCTGTTAAAAGCTAGGAATGCATGTATAATCAGGAAGTGCCAAAGAAAAGCAAAAATAGATACACAAGGGGCATTTTCATTCTATCAGTTTCTTGCTCTCTCACTTAAAATCCAGCTACTTGAACGGACAATGACCGTGGCCAGCTGAAAGGATACTTCTGGCCAGCAGCCATTCCATCTAAACAAGCAGTATTGTCTTGTAGACACTGGGGCTTTAGACTACACCTCTGTCAGTAGAGAGATGCAGATTAAGCACGTCGAAATTGCTAATGAAGCAGGGATTTAAATATCCTGTGCTTCATTAGCGTAAACATGGCTGCCGCTTTTTTCCCTAAACGGAGCTTTTTTTGGGGGAAAAATCGGCAGTCTACACGCAGATCTGTCAAAAATAAACCCTTTTTCGACAGATCCTGTAAACCTCATTTTTTGAGGAATACAGGATCTGTCAAAAAAAGGGTTTATTTTCGACAGAATCGCATCTAGACTGCCAGGTTTTTTTTCCGAAAAAGCTCTGTTTTGGAAAAAAGTGGCGGCCATGTTTATGCTAATGAAGCGCAGGATATTTAAATCCCTGCTTCATTAGCAATTTTGATGTGCTTGATTTGCATCCCTCTGTCGACAGAGGGATGCAGTCTAGACATAGGCTCGGTGTGTAAGGAGTTGGGAGAAGAAGGGAACATTCATTGAAGCCCTTACTTTAAAAATCCTAATGACAATGGCCTGCCGCACCAAGAATTGGACCTAAAATACAAAATGCCAGAAGCTCCACTCCTATAGCTTGTAAATAGGGCCCCCACATCATACATATAAGGAAGTGGAGAGAAGGCTCCTGCTTCCCTCCCACAGGATTAAAGTCCTCTGATTTTCATCTTGTCGCTGAAGGATCCTTGGGATGTGGGGGTGGGAAATACCTGTAGCCACACTGTGCCTTTGGACATCCTGCATAGAATGGTGATATGGAAGGAAATCTGTGAATTACCATCTCATTTTCCAGGTTTAAAACTTTCATTTCTTCATGTTACGTGTGATGCTGCTGCTGTTGGGTTGGTTTGTTTTTGTTTTACTGTTTTCTTGTTTCTTTTGAATAGCATTAAAATTAAATGTTAATGTTCACTAAGAACCATTTCATTTAGTTCTGAGTGTCAGTTATTACACTTAGTTATGCGCAATACATTCTGTTCAGCCTTCCCAGCAACAGCTGTTTGTAGTGCTAGAGATATTTTTGTACAAAGATTTTGTAGCTACAAGTGTATGTTTTGGGGGGCAGAGGTGGGATTGTTTCCTTTTTAAAGATTGTAATCCCTGGCACACTTTCGATAAATAGTTGAAAACTTTTATTTTTAAAACTGAGTAACAATTTTAACTTTTGCAGTGTACACATGCAAGCTCTCAGACAGAGAAAACCCTCTCTATCTGCGTTTGGTAGCAGGCCCCAGCACAGAAACACTCAGTTTTGTTCTGCGTGAGCATGAAACTGGAGAGGTTATGGTAAGTTACAGCTGTCTTTTTGTGTTTAGCTTCACAGATCTGTTAAATACACTCATTCTCTCTGTCTGGAGCATCTTTTCATGATGATCATTTCAGTGTCTATAGAACTGTACACAAAATTGTGAGGGGCTGAACAAAAGTAGTTATGCAGGTTATTTCAAGCATGGAATATTAAAGCAGTGAGTACTACAGTGGAGCTAGAAAAAGCATTAGTTTTAATTTCCACCTTTCACATGGATTCACCTTGGGCAGAATTTTTCCGTTGATGGGCTCAGTTCAAGGCTGAATATGTACTTTAGAAGGGAGCAGGGGGAATGGCTAAGCAACATCTCTTAATATTTTGAGTTCTGCAATGATGAGAAAAACTTCCCCTTTCCTAATACTAAAAAGTGACTGAAATTTTAAATTAAATGGCCCTCAAAGTACAGTACATCCACAATCAATTTTTAAATGACTGGCTAGTTAATTAACGACTGAGTTTGGAAGATAGTGTGGAAATCATTGAAAATCACTTGTGAGCATACTCAGGTATCATTTTTAACAGCGTTTAATCAAAAACGCTGTCCTCTTTTTGACATCACAATGTACGTTTTTTCCCTGACTAATGTAGCCTTAGGGTTGGCTGGTGCTCTTAGGCTGCTACGGGAATGGTTTGCATCAATGGTTTACAAATAGTTCATTAGAACAAAATCACCTCCACCTTCTCCCTCAAAACAGATCCCATTGGGAATCAACTCGAAATGTTCCCGAAGTAGAGATTAATGTATTTCTGGTCACAGTTAGCAGAACTGCACAAATGCGTGTAGTTGCAGAGGACTGAGCCCTGTGTTTATCTTTAGGGAGTGGGGTCATTATCAAGCTGTAGTAAACACAGTGCAAACCAATATGCTGCTGCCTTGTTAACCAGACAGCAGCAGCAAGTCGAAAGGTTGGAATTCTTCCTTGAACCTCAGCCACGTGAGAAGTTCAAATTGGGACCAAATACTAATAATATTAAGCATCAAATCATTTATAAAAAAAAAAACCTAAATGCAAAAATTAGGTTTGTGCAAGATTTTTTTAAAGCTGCAAGTTGTAAATTAAAATAGAAACAGTGAAAATTAATGTCACTACAGCTACACTGTGCATTCTGTATAATGTATAGCATATTGGCATTTGTCAAAATCAGTGGTGCAAAAAAACCCCAAAAAACCAGGGATAGAAATTGATACATCTGTGTAATGTGGCCAAGTTGATGTTTCTGTAGGAAACTTAATTTTATATTTCCTTTTTATTTTAACTATACAAATCAGTTGTGTTAACTTGACTTTTGCCCATCATATAACAGAAGTCCATTATTTTTTTTGTGAAGATCCATATTTCTTTGTCAAGGTCCAGACTCCAGAAAACATTATTTAAAAACTAACAATCATGATGATGGTAAGTAGTAAATAAAGATTCTGGAGTCAATTCAGCAGTAGCTGGTAGTCTGGATTTGGCCCATAGTCTGTCTATTGATTACCCCTGTTATATAGTGACACTATTATTAGCATGTAAATGAAATGACTTAGTTCTAACTTTCATTGATGGCCTCTTAATCCTAACAAAATCAATCATCAAATTAAACTGTCTTATGTCTAGAAATGTACTATTGTACCAGGTAACACCTAGTACAATGATTTTGGTTTTTGTCCTTTGTGTTTATTTGTGGATTTACAAATAGGGATGTTAAGTAGCATTTAATTAGCTAATCGAGTAGTCAATGGAATTTCCATCAACTAGTCGGTTAACCGATAATAATGCCGGGGGGCGGGGGGGGGGGTAAGAGGGAGAGAAGATGCTCGCTACCCCTGCTGTGGCTCTGCAGTTTAAATATAGTAGAAGCCAGACATGCAGGTAGCTGGCTCCTACTAAATTTCAACTGCAGAGCTGCAGCAGGGATAGCTCACCAGGTGGTGCGAGCAGGGACTGAGCAGTTCTTTCATAAACTGGCTCTGAGACTGCTGCACTGCTGCTTTTTAAATGCAATAGGAGCCACCTGGCTCTTACTACATTTAAAAAGCAGAGCCACAGCAGGGGACCGGGTCATGTTAAAAGGCAGAGCCACAGCAGGGGACCGGGTCCTCGTTCACACTGAGTCCCCTGCTGCACCTCTGCCTCCCCTGCACTCCCACCCCCAGAGACATTGCTAGAGGGAACCTAAGTCAGTCCCCCTGAGCATCTTCTCCTGCTCACCCATCCTTGCTGTCTCTGATATGAGAGGGGGAGTGAGTAGTCGAGCCTGGGCTTATTGGGTAATTGACTACTCAACTAGTTGCTTACATACCTATTTGTAAATAATTCATGTGTAGTTAGAGTCCCCATTGTTTCTCTCAGAACAGAGAAGAGAAACATTTTTAAAAAGAACAAAAAGTTTGCAAACCCACAGAAATGGGCAGGAGGACAGACCTTCACTAGTACAAGAAACTATATTTTATCTCCTTTCTGTATGTTGACATTTTGAGTTGACAGTATCCCTTTAAAAATACAACGAGTAATTTGCGTATTTCCTGTTCACTACATCAGTCTTTCCAAATCTTTTTTCCTAGTGGGAAGCCTTCAGCCTTCCTGAACTGCAGAACTTTTTGCGTATACTGGACAAAGAGGAAAATGAGCAACTACAGATCTTAAAGAGGCGTTATACAGCCTACAAAGACAAACTTGAAGAAGCCCTGGGTGGAGTGTGGAAACCAGGTTAAAGTGGGGCCAAAGAACACTCAGGAAATATGCCACAGAGCATGCCAAACCCAAACGTACAGAACAGCAGCAAAGAAAATAGTTTTCTTTATTTAGAAAACTCGTTTGTGAAGCTAGGATTACCTGTACTTTTCTATAGATTTAGATCCATAAATCGGGTCACTTAGTGTCTTACTCCTATAAGGAATTCTGCATCAACTTGCAACCCCCTAATGTGCCTTAGAGGCTTTCCAGGTTACCTTTGTGTAATCTCTGACTATATTTTCTAGTATGATAACAGGAATTTGTTACCACTTTTTTTATTTGCTTTAATATTAATGATAGCTTTCAAAGTAAGGAAGTGCAAATTGATTATTTAAAAAAATTAATAAAACGGCTTAGCCATGTGAACGAGAATCAGATTGGAGCACTACATTTGAGATTAAATAGATTTGCACTACCTTTTGATTTTCAAATATTTACTGTGTACTCTGTGAGGAAACTGTTATAGGTGGAAGGGACATAAAACTTTGAGGTTCTGTGAAATTGTGGAGAATATAAAGCAGACTTAGTAGAGAAAGTAAAGAGCAAGTTGAAAAGAAGGAAAGAGGTAAGGAAGTGGCTGGAGTAGCTGATGGGAGATTGAAGTAGAGTGGAAATACAAATGATAGAAAAAATGGAAATTTAGTTTTGCTAGTGACTAGTTGTAAAAAAAATCAAGTTTTAGGAAGCTTTAATTTTGTGAATAAGTTTTTAGAATTGTGTAAAGTCTCACTAGAAGAGAAAGGATAATTAATGAAAGTACTGGGAGAGAAGGCAGCAAGGAAGCTAAATTTTAGTAGAAATTGAACTCCCTATATCGGAGAAGATATGTGAAAGCAGGTGTGGTTTGAGCTGTGCAGCAAACTCAGTCTGTTGGATTTTGAAGTGTGAATAGTGAGTATATCTCATGTAACTTTTATAAGGAAAACCCACCTAATTGGTCACGGAATGTCTAGGTTAGAAATATAGATGGAGGTACATTGGTTTAACTAAAATCATATCTTTCAGCTGAGATCAAAGAGCTCTTTTCTTTAAAAAAAAAAAAAAAAAAAAAATAGGACATTTTCAAATTATTCATCTTATAAAGGCATGAGGCAAAGAGAAGAATTTCTTGTTTGTAATTCCAAGGAAGCAGAGAATTAGAATACATTGGTCATGTTGTTGATGAATGGGGTTAATAACTCCAGTTTTGGCAATATGACTTTTTCTAATATTGCTATTTTTTAAAAAGTAATGGTCCAATAGCTAATTACCAAATTCTGTATACTGCTGATTTACTTGATTAAGAGTAGGAAAAATGTAGCAAAAGAAATGTTTGTACTTTACTGTAAATGTAATTATTCTTTCAAAAGTATTTATCTAAAGAAGCATGTTCAAAGAAACCAAAGAAATGGATGTGCAATAAAAGCATAAAGATGGTTTGAATAATTAACAAGTTTTTGTCATAACCACGTGGTGGGGAAAAGTCAGGATTTATGCTAGTAAAGAAATGGATAAATAATGCTGATGATTCAAGAACAGCATTTGTTTCTCTTGCTATAAAGTTGTTCATTATAAGTTCCCAAGGAATAGCTGACACTTTGGCGACACCTAGTGGATGCTCTGTGAAACTCCAAGATGTTTCTGTTCTTTATTCTAATGTGACATAATTGTGCCTTCTGTGAAACTCCAAGATGTTTCTGTTCTTTAATGTGACATAATTGTGCCTTTGTTTCCTTTCTTTAGTAATGGACAGCTCTTTGGGAAAAATATTTTTTTGCAGATGTATTGAGACAATCATATGTTTTAAAGTGTTAAGAGATCTTAAAGTAGGACTAACTATAAAAATATATATGGCATAACTTCTTTGTTTTTATTTTATTTCACATGTAACATTGTAGTGCATGTGGGTTGTTTATCATCAAAGTGAGACACTTTACCACAGTGGTTCAGGGAGTACTTTTACCTTTTGTTAAAATTGTTTTTCTATTCATACTACAGCATGTTCATGGGTATTCTGTTAACATCTACTTTAATTTGTTGTGTTACCCAAAACTATGTAATCATTAGATAATAATTAAGTTGAAGCATTCGTTTTTCAGATTTCAACACTGTTTGAATCTAAAAGTGGTAGTTCATGATATGTGAATTTTTTTTTACTTGAACTAAATTATCTGTCTTTAAGGTGGACATCTTCAGTTATTTTGCCAAAACCTCAATTAGTGTCTTATGCACTACACATTTTAATTTGGAAAAAAACAAACTTACTGTATTTTAATTTTGTCTTAGTCCACAGTTAATTGTTAAGACTGTTTTATTTTTTTACACACTGGTTATTACAACAGCTTTTATTTAAAATAATTGGTCAAGTTTGGCCCATTTTTTAAAATTTATTATCAGATATCAAACTGTCAAACCTTTGTTGCAAAATTGTTTTGTATTCATTATTTGATGGTACCAGATTTACAATTAAATAACCTGGGGGCAAGGCAGGGAGATGTTTAAAATGTATGTCTTTTGAAAAAGCTATACTATTTATAATTTTGACAAGTTTAATTTTATTTTTATAGGGAAGTTTTTATTCCCCTTAATGTTGTTGTTATAATGGCAAGTGATAGTTCCATTATTAAAGTTGAAGTTGGCAGTACTTTGTCATTTCAGTGGTGTTTATTTATCTTGTTAATATTGTATTACCTGAAATTCATGTTGTGGTCATTTAATGCTAAATTTGACCTCTTTATCAGGGAGCTACTTAGCAAGAGGCAGCCTCTTTTTGAGCACAAATTAAGACTCACTCCTGGGGGAATTCTGCACCAAAAAATAAAAATGTTGCATAATTTTGCAAATTGTATTTGCCACAATACCACTACATAATCACACCAGTTCCAATTTATTTGGTAATTTATTTCAAAATACGTGTCAGCAAATATGTCTATAACAGTACAAAGAAATTCCCCCAGGGAGTAGAGAATTAAAGAAATACCTATAGCAACCTATTTCCTGTTTCTCTGCTCTCTCCTCCCCCCAGAGCCCATGGGAAGGCATGTCTACACTGGGGAGTTATTTTGAAATAACAAGGCGAGCGTCCACACTACCAAGCCTGTTGTTTCAAAATAAGGGGCTTATTTCCAAATAACTTCTGCATGTGACATGATATAATTATTTCAGGAGTTATTATTTCTAAATAATTTATTTAGATATAATCTGATCGTCCAGACGTAGCGTGAGAGGCCAGGCACCCAAAGCCCCTCCATCCCAGAGCTAGGTTTACCAACTTTCTATTTGCTCAAAACCAAACACCTGTGTCCTGCCCCTCCTCCAAGGCCCCATCCCCACTCTGTCCCCATCAATCACTTGCTCTTCCCCACCATCACTCACTTGCTGATTTTTCACTGTGTTGGCTCAGGAGGTATAGAAGGAGGTGAGGGTCCAGAAATTAGGGGGGTTTAGGGTGTGGGAGGGAGCTGCATGCAGGGAAGCTGAGGGCTCAGCTGTGGGTGTGGACTCTGAGGTTGGGCCAGGGATGAGGGATTGGGTGAAGGAGGAGGGTTTGGACTGGGGCTCGAGAGAGAGTCAGGGTGCAACCTTCAGATAGCACTTAACAGAATAAGCAGCATGTTCTCCCCCCCCCCCCTAGAGCCATCGGCAGGCAGCTCTGCATGCTGGCCTGTCCTCAGGCACCACCCCAGCTGATGACAGAGACTAATGACTTAGGACCTGATCCTGGACTCCTTACTTGGATAAAACTTCCATTAAAGCCAATATAAGTTTTGCCCACACAAATACTTCAGGAGAAGGCCCCGAATAGCTGCATGCAGCTATATATTTTAATCAGGGTCCTGCATACTCTACAGCAGTGGTTCTCAAAGTGTGGTCCATGAGCCACTAGTGGTCTGCAACTGTTTGAAGGTGGGCCACAGTCTAGGGGCTCACCCTCCCCACAGCAGGGAGCCTGCGCTGGTGCTCCAACCCTGCCCCCAACCCCCGCAAGGTTAAACAGTCTCACCACCCATTGAGAGGAAGGAGGGTAATTCATGCAGCCCACTCACTAGCCTAGATTGCCCATTGCTGCTCTAGCTTCCTCCTCTTATATTGAGGGCATATGTTTATTGTCTGTCAAAATTGTTGCTCACAATTTTGGGGTCTTGCTGGATTTATCTGTGTTTCTGGATTTCTCATGCGTTTAATCTTGTTTAGCTGATCAAAAGAGGGACTTGAGGAATGGGTGGCTTATACCTTCCTGATCCCAGAACTACAAAGAGTCGTTGATGCAGGGTTAAGTAGGCTACTGCACTGTGCTCTGCCCGGGACTATTTTTGACAACCACCAGAAACTTCAAATATGGCATTATGTAGCTGCTTTCCTTTTAAGATAACGTAGAATGATGAGAGCACATTACATCAGCACTCTGTGTTTGTACTGACAGTTCATTTCTGCAACAATTAATTTTTGACTATTTTTTCCATTAAGCCCTGAATTGCCTAGGTTCTTTTATCTCCAAGATTTCCTTTCTTACTAGGTCTAATTGTGGGAACTGTCAATCAGCAGAACTCCTGCTTGTCAGTGCCCTGGGTGAAATGCATGGCAACACTTGGGCACATTCTCAATAGGACTGTAGCTTTGGAATTCATTCCCTCCAATGGTATGTTTTTGCTGAGTTTTGCTTCTTTTGTGGTGTATTATGACATGCCTCTTTGGTCAGATTTCCCTGATTGTGGTTGTTCACGCTCCTTTATCATGGGTCTATCTTAGTTGGTATTCTCCTATTTTGGCTCTTTTTGGTTTTGTTTTGTTTTTTGCATAGCCGGGGTATTATGGGGCCAGGAAGAGGGTGCAAAATGTTGAGTTTATAGAGGATGATGAAGGTTGGAATAAAACTTGGTACATTCGCGGATATAGAGAGCCATGGTTTTAACTGACACTGGACCCAGATATTATGGTGGTAAACATAATTTGTAGTAAACTGTAAACAACAAAACTTACTGTTTCAGAACAGTCCAACAACAAATAGACTTACAGTCTCTGTATTAACTGAAACAAAGCAATTCAGCATAATACACAGGGTGACTGGAAATCACACTGCAAGTGTTAATATTTCTCTTTGGAGACATAAACTTTGGTATGCAAAGCACTATCTATTCTAGCTACTTCTAGCATGCCTGGAATGGAGCAGCTGTATATTTGAGAGGAGCAAAGTTCACCCTGCCTTTCCCAAGAAAAATGAATTAGTTCAGCAAGGTATCTCAATAACTTTGGGCAAACAGATGCTTCCAGTATGCTGGTAATTCTAGATAATTATCTTAAACTTTTAAATCCAGGTTTCAGAGCTGGTATCTTGACAAACCATCCATCAGCTGGCAACAGTTTACAGTCCTAGGATGAGTAGGGGCTAGGAATGTTTCTAATTCATAGAATCATACACCTCGAGAGGTCATTAGATCTCACTCTCAGACCAGCTCCCACCTGGCACCCTGTGCTGCTGCTTCTGATAGAGGTAGCAGCATGGGATGGCAGGGGACTCCCCAGAAGTGGGGCTGGAGTGGGCTGGCTGCTGTCCCCACCCCCAGGGTCTATTGAATAGTTGTGTAACTGATAAGAATTCCTGCAGTTACATGACTACTCAGTTACCTGATAGCTCACGTCCCTAGTTTTTCCTTGTGTGGGAATTTAAAAGGATATCCTAGTACATGGATTCCTACTCCTGAATTCTGATCATCTCACACAACATCAGAGCTAATTTTAACATGATAGAGCAGAGTCCTCATTTCATAAAGAACGTGTTGAGTACTGAAAGTGCTTTTCCCTGCCTAGAGCAACACACCGAAAGAAGTGATGTTGGCAATATGATTTGATTTTTTTTTTTTAGTCAGGGACCTGATATAAGCAGTGCTGGCAAAAACTGTCTTGCTGGTAAAAGCTGTCTCTACCCTAGGAAGGTGCACCATTACACCTGTGTCAGTATAACTATAACAAAGCCCATTAGACAAGACACCGTGCACCAGAAATGACTCCATTGTACTAGTTGCTATATACAATCCCCATCCAAAAACACTTGGGCTGTGTCTACATTGGCATCCCTTTCCGGAAAAGGGATGCCAATGAGACACTTCGGAATTGCAAATCCGCAGGGGATTTAAATATCCCCCGCGGCATTTGCATTTACATGGCTGCCGCTTTTTTCTGGCGCGGGGTTTTTGCCGGAGAAAAGCGCCAGTGTAGACGCGATTTTCCGGAAAATAAGCCCTTTTCCGTGAGATCCCTTATTTCTACTTTCAAGGAATAAGGGATCTCCCGGAAAAGGGCTTATTTTCCGGAAAATCGCGTCTACACTGGCACTTTTCTCCGGCAAAAACCCCGCGCCAGAAAAAAGCGGCAGCCATGTAAATGCAAATGCCGCGGGGGATATTTAACTCCCCTGCGGATTTGCAATTCCGAAGTGTCTCATTGGCATCCCTTTCGACAGCCTTGCAGTCCAAAAAATGTATGGAGACTGATGCATTTTATTTACTTTCTGTTCTAAGCAGTTGTAGAAGCCTTAAACTAGGCCCTCCAGCAGTGACTTTGTTACTGGATCTCTGTTGTTTGCCTGCATATGCAGAAAGTCAGGGTTAAGACTTCATCCTGCAGTTGCATGTGATCAGGGGAGCCAACAGCCTCACTGGGCCCCTGGGCAAGCTGGGGGAGGGGCCTGGCTCCATGCTCCCAGATGGTATGAGCTCTCAGGCAGAAGGGGGGGGGTGGAGCCGGGGGCAGTTAGCTTGCAGTGCTGCCCAGATCACAGCCTGTGCTACTGCCCCTCCCCCTAGCCCTGGGGGTTGCCTGGGCCACACCACATGGGGCTCTGGCAGGCCCCCCCACCGTCAGCGAGCCTGGATGTAATTAAGCAAATTGCTTAGGGAAATCTGAGCTCATCTTTCCTTTGCTAGTACTTGATATGTAAGTTTGCTTGGGACATGCAAGTGATTTCAACGCTAATCAAGTCCACACATTAAAACAGTGGAACTTTGAAGCCCCGGGGGCCACAATGATACTCACAGCACATGCTGAGGGCTGCAGCTTCAGTGTGGTTGCATAGACATGCAAATAGCTTCTCTCACACTGACAGGCATGAATATAAAGATTGAGGCAGGACTACACAACACGCAGGCCCCATTTCAGTCAGTTCTGCTGATATTAATAAAATGCCATATTTACCCGATTTCCACCCATAGGACAGCACTTTTAATGAGCAATGACAGTTCAGGAATTTAACTACTAAAATGCATGTTAACAGAAGACCACTGTATTGACTCACCGTTGTGGAGCGTGTTCCCAAGGGAGGCCATGTTCAAAGGATCCCACCTTCAGGCTGCTTGTTGAGCCCCACGTTAAACCCAACCCGCCCATGTGTTGAGTAGCCCTACATTAAAGGATAAAAGTCATTTTTGGCCTTACCAATGTCCACCCTTTTCTGAGATGCCAAGGCAGTGGCTGTATTTCAGGAGGTAGCTGCCTGTTACTTACAATAAAACAATCAGACCTCTAGATCTGGCAGAAATAGTTGAGTGACAGTTATTAGAATGTGATGTTGGTTTCTTTGCATCTGCCCAATGTTATCTGGCAAGTGACAAATCAGCACCGTTTCATCTGTACCTACATAACTTCCCTTATATTAATACTAATTTTCCTTTAATGGAACATGTTCTGAAATAACCAATACCGCCCAACATTTTTACAGGTTACTCCATGATCACCCAAGAAATTAATGATCAAGGAGAAACTATGTTAAGTTTTATGACCTTGAGAATAGACCATGACTATTCATAAATGTTCATGAGCACAATGGAAAAGATGCACTTAGGTAATATAGAATAGCCATGTCCTGTGGTACTAAACTAGTGATACTCACACTTACGTGACTTGAGAGCAACATTTTCAATCATCTTTAATCAAAAGTGACATGTAACTATTGTGTGCCCCATACACTGCCCCATCAACCACACATATACAATGGTGTTAAATATTTAACTATACATATATAACTCTAAATATAACCAAATATTGTAAAATTTTCAAATAGTTTTGATACAAAAAACTGAATTTAATTGCTTATTGCATACATAATTGCCTTGCTGGTTAGATTTTTTTTTTAATTGGGCAATGGAATTGTTACATATTAAGCAGATGCATTCGCCTCTACTACTGGGCACAAAGAATTAATCATGTTCCCACTCCTCTCTAAATCTGCACTTCTCTTTGTACGTGCCTTTTTTTCCATTGCTTTCATGCCCACAGAAGGGGCTGCTAACACCCACAAGGGGAATGCATGTGATTGTTCACAGAATTCTAATTGGTTTTTAACTGGGGTCCTAGTGTTTGCAGTTACAGAAAGCTGCAATTGGTTGGGTGAGCATACCATGCTGTTTATTTTGTTCCTATTGTCTCTGCCTTTACTGTTCCATGCAGCAATTCTATTTACATCCCTTGTATCCTTAACTCTTGTGCCAGGGCCAATAGACACACTGTTCCTGAGCTCAGTTAGCCCTGTTCCTCCTATCAGCTGATTTGCCAAGTTCCTGGTGGGAAGAGGAGCGGGGACTCCCTCCCTCTTTGGGTGTGTCTACACTGCACCCTAGCTCAAATTGTGTAACTTATTTTGAAATAGCTCATGTCAAAATTTGGCACTATCTACACAGAGCGCTATTCTGAAATGTCCTTTAATCCATTGTGGAACAAGGTTTTCAGGGACCTCAGACACGGAGAATGCTATTTCGGGATCCATCATCTATAGCCAAGCCCTTCGATACAACCGCATCTGCTCTAATCCCACTGACAGAGACCAGAAACTTCAGGATCTCGACCAAGCATTTATAAACCTCAACTACCCACCCGGAGAAATAAAAAAGCAAATTGAAAGAGCCAGACGAATACCTAGAAACCATCTACTACAAGACAGACCCAAGAAAACCAACAATAGAACACCACTTGTCATCACCTACAACCCCCAACTTAAACCTGTCCAACACATTATCAATAAACTACAGCCTATACTGGAACAGGATACTAAACTCCAAGAAGCTCTGGGAAACAGACCCATAGTCTCCTATAGACAACCACCTAACCTCAAGATGATTCTTACCAACAACCACAGGACATACCACACTAATACCAACTCTGGTACTTTCCCTTGCAACAAACCCCGCTGCCAGCTTTGTCCACATATTCACTCTGCTGATACCATTATTGGGCCTAACCAAGTGAGTTATAAGATCAAGAATACGTATTCCTGCGCATCCAGAAATATAATTTATGCTATCATGTGCCGAAAGTGTCCGTCTATGTACATTGGACAAACGTCTCAGACACTTCGCCAAAGGCTCAATGCCCACAAAACAGATATTAGACAAGATCACAAAGAAAAAACAGTTTCTTGCCATTTCAACCAGAAAGGACATTGTCTCAACAACCTAATCACATGCATCCTACTCCAGAAGACTTTCAAATCTGCACTTGAAAGGGAATCCTCTGAACTGTCATTCATGCTAAAATTCGACACTCTCCGCAGGGAGGGGGGGGGGCTGAACAAAGACCCCAACTACCGTACCCATTACAAAGATAGCTTCCCCAATTATTACCTCTAATACCATTAGCTCACAGACATTTACCTTCCTCCCCCCCGTGCATCCCCCTTCTGTTCTGAAATGTGATTTGTCCTTTTCATATGTGTTCTTTTTTTTTAATTGTATCCTTTGGTATATATGGCTGGGACTATTTTCTTCCACTATTTGATCTGAGGAAGTGGGTCTGGCCCACGAAAGCTCATAATCTAATAAACCATCTTGTTAGTCTTTAAAGTGCTACATAGTCTGGTGTAGCTGAAACAAAATACAGGACTAACACGGCTACATTTCTATCACTTTTGTAGACATGTTTTTCAAACCAACCAATTACATTTTTGGAAGTAGCAGGGTGCTCATTTGCATTCTCAGAGCATGGGGAAAGTGAAAATTATTACGTACTAAGGGCTGTAATACTCATGCTCTTAGAATGTAACTATACTTCATTTTTTCTAAAGCATTCCAAATACTTTGACTTCTGCCACTACTCAGCAGTAATTAGAACTATGTTACTTACACTCACGGTGAGCTGGGGTGTTACTCTACCTCAAGGTAGCCTGCCACACACTGGAAGTTCCCTAATGCACTTTGACATGCTTCCATTTCAAAGCAGGGTAGATCAAAGCATGCAAGAAACTTCAGTGTGACACAGCAAGGCCCACATGGATACCAATGTTAAATCAGTCTAGCAAGGTGTAGAATTTCAACCCAGCTTGTTACACCCTTCCTCCCCCCCCCAGTGTCTCGCAGCTAAGACCTTTGATTAATAAATAGGCAACAAAGAATCTTCCACAGCTGGCAACCTTGGGCGTATGAACTATTTTGACAGCACTTAAATCGAAAAAGGGATCGTGTGGTTAAAAAGGTTGGAGACCACTGCACTAGACTGTTACAAGCATGATGCCCGGTTTATAAAACCTGACAAACCTGCCTCCCTTGAAGATTTCCACAGTTTAAGTTTACCATAAAAGAGGTATTAGAAAAGTTCCTAATAGACAAATCTTTATTTTCAAAAAGGTGCAGCAGTGAACAGGGTCCTTTGAAGGGCACTTTCTAAACAAAACAGTTGTGGTACAATAGAGCAGAAATTAATAAATCCACAGTGAAGTACAGTTAAACTGCATAAAAGGAAGTTAGGAACACATATAAAGTCGTACATTAAAAATAATTTAACAGCCATTTTCACTGGTTCAGTAGAATTACAACCACATGCTTGCATTTGGCTTGTATAGTGGATCAATTTAAACATATTTAGACTTTACAGAGTTATTTTAAGACTACTACCCTTACTACAGATGATTTAAGATAAGCACTCTAGAAGACAATTCGTGAAAGCAACATTTACTCCTTGACAGGCAAGAAGTCAATTTCCTGGCCATGTAAGCAGATATCAGGTACCCTCACTCATGCTACAGTGACAATACTTTCAATTAAGTGATTAAGATGTTTTAATAGATTCAATACTTTTGTTTCTGCTGCAATACATTTGTGTTGCTATGTTTTGCAGAATACAGTATCAGCTTTATCAGATTAGATTATGAGAAATGAGCATTTACATTTAAAAAATGAGCTAGAATCACATTTTATATGAAAGAGACTAGTATTTAGTAAGGCCTCTATTCATTTCCAACAGTTAAATGGCTCAAGTAATAAGGTGCAAGTAGACAATGCCATGTTCAAAGTGTTATTAAAAGGGAACATAGGAAGACTCAATTTTTGAGCCAGCTGTGTTTGGGAATTTGGTATAGCTGTAAGTTAAAGTTCCTTCCTAATATGTTATTTCAGTTAAAGTGAATATTGATCATTCAAGGAATATGAAAATATCCATAGGCTTAATTGCATCCTGGGGGGAAAAAAAACAAAAAACCACACCGAACAGTTGAATCAGAACAACAAACAGGGCAGCAATTGATTGTTACTGTTCTCTCTTCAGCTGTGTGCCTCTGATATTCAACTCAGCTTAAGACAGCCTTACAATGCAGGCTTCATCAGAAATGTTTGGCTTTTTGCAAAGTCACAAGAGTGATGAATACAATGTGGCGATGTCAAGATTTTCTATGGTAAATTACACTACTACTAAAATACAAATGTGGGTGTGGTAAGACTCAGGGTCAGTTGAGAAAGAGAATGTAAGGAAACAAGTCTGGTGATAATTGAAATGACTGACCAGTATGGTTTCCACATAAAAAAAAATACTAACAGCATGTATAATTAAAGTAAAATTCTCTTCTCTGATCAGACTTACTGGATAGTCTACATCAGTTCTATACAATCAATTTTCATCTCAATTAACTAAGGAAGGTACAATATGCAGGATATACAGTTGTCATTAAAGAATAAAATTCTTCCTGCTAACCAACCATGCCATATCAGGAAAAGTGGTATATCAAGTTACTTTTGGTCATGACTATCTAGTAGTGTTTTTTTACACAAGGGAAAGGTGTACCTTGAAACACACCAACATTGCAGACAATGATAACCATTGCATTGCTGACACTTAGTAAACATACTAACCGGAATGTCAGGTGTATGACCAGCTAGAACATTTTGGACAGTAATGCTCCAAGTTACATGCCTACGTCACTGAAGACTTTCCTCACTAAATCCATTACATTGTACAATTAAGTACAACCACCAGCAAGTTTAACTAAAAAGATGAACACAAACCTAGTGTAGAAATGTCTGCCAAATATATTGTTAAATGAGTTATGATAATTTTTGGCTTGATCAAAGAATTGGAGCATAAAATTGTTATAGGACCTAACAGATGGTTAAGGAAAAAGATAGTATGCTTGGTACATACTGATTGAGGAAAGGTATTTGTAGAATATACACAGGTTCAAGGACAGTGTAGTGAGATGAGAGGTTTTGGTGAATGGAGTAGAAGATTTGAAAAATCAAAATTATGGTCAAGAAAATAAAATATTTCCAAGTAATTTAATGGGAAGAGATGAACTTATATGGTGTTACAATATGCAGAGAAACACTCTCAGTATGTTCCCTTAGTTTTTAGGGTTCTTTTCAACAGCTGTTTTTCCCAGGCATCTCTAATGCCCCTGGATGGACAACATACATGTTCTGATTTGTGAGGCAAAATTAAATCTGTTCACCATCTGATTATGGATAGAAACAACTTTACCTCCTGCTGGAAGGCCACAAAATGCTGAATTTGTCAATACTCAAGTTAAATTTAGTCAATGCTATCTTTATAAATGTTGCTTTTACCAGCTTCAAAGAGCTGTAAAATGGGGTGTACTTTTTGACTTCTGAAATTAGAGATTATCTTGTGTTAGCTATCTGAAGAAGAAAAAAAACCCTTGGTATATTGTTTCATCTGCTTGATAAAGCACCAATGCAGGAAATACCAGTTCTTCTGACTTAAATATGTTGTTTTCTAAATTGATAAATAGGTTTATTAAAACAGAATAGGTAACTAGCAACAGTTTAAAATGAGGAGAGCTTTACTATAGCATAATCTGACAATGAAAAAAATCTAAGTTTTCTCCTTAAGCTACAATTCAACTGCCTTCAAGCAGAATAATTTTCTTGATGAAGAGAGTAATCCAGGAGGTTTTTAGTAGATGGCTTGGTAATGTATTTTTATAGAGATTAATTTAGTAAGCTTGCTGGTTCTTGAACTTGCGTGATTTTCTAAATTTAAAAAGGCAGTCAGTATTCTGAACACACAAATATCACATTAAATCCATGACAGTATTTTTTTAAGAGTGAATAGTGTCATCACTAGGTGGCAGACAGACAACTGACTCTTCATCCAAATACCAAAGCAGTAACATACCAGAATCCTTTAACATGAAGGGCAGAATGGAGGTAGTTTTCAGCCCAGAAGCAGCTCTTTGGCAGAAACACTCAAACTGACCGAAGTAGTCTTCTTACCATGATTTCTGCTAAGTGAGGATTTGTTGTTTTTATTTTTCAGGAGGCAAAGCCCATTTAACTTTATGCATCATGTGAATAACTAAACATGTCAGATTAACAAGATACTTGAAGGCTGGAGATGACATGCACATGACGACTACTTTGTGATGCTCATTTCCGTATTTCCTGAGGATTACTACAATTCAGTTTACTAAAGCAGAGCTAGTTCATCATGACCAACATGCAGGCACTCCGTTTTATTCCAAAACTTCAGATTAGTTTTAGCATATTAAAAAACCCTATTTCAAAATAGGTTACATTAAAACATAAGAGTAGTTACTTCTAAGAACCTGTTACAAATGTACTGAATTGGAAACAGAAAGAGTATCCTTGTGTCTGAAAGCTGCTTAAACACAGGCCTGTGAGAGGAGTATTTTTATTATTCTAGTTTGAAATAGTCATGGTAGAGATTATTAATACAGTACTTTAAAGTCTGCAAGATGGTTAGTGTCTAGTCAGATCCTATAGCTCTCTGCCTTATATTCTTCTATGCCATACTATGGTAGTTTGCCCCAGGTTAACTTTAAGAGCAACATTGAACACCTGTAATTAACACTTAGCTTTTAGAAAAGTCTGTATAGGAGTGAATGAAGATGGGTGATGATTTCTGTGTAATATGGCCTGCCCTGGGTTAATCTGATTCAGTTTATAAACTTGGTCTTTCTTCATACAAAACATAATAAATCCAAGTTAGACCTGTAGGTCCCAGGTCAGCACCATACCTCTGATATGAAAAAGACTAGATATGAGACAGATTAGCTAAGTTTGATTGTTGAGAATTACAGTTCAGTTGTAAAATATACACAGGGCAAAAGGCAAACCTCTAAAGACAACTTGATTCTGCCCCCCTCAGACAAATTTTTAACAAAGCCAGTTGACTGAGTCTTCCAGATGTAATTATTGTAGGTTAGATGCAGGCAGACCTGCTGGAGTCCCTCTGAAGAAATGAGCACAGGAAGCTGGCTGATTAATGCTGTTACAGAGACCGCGTGGAAAGTCTGTGAGCCCAAATACCATGATTGAACATTAGGCGTGGGTCAAATCTGTACCTGTGAGTGGGAGAAGGTCTGCATGAGCTACATTTAGATCAAGGATTACCAGCAATTTAATAAATTTAACATGTAGCACTAAACCAGAGTTCATTAAAATGTTTTACTTCCTTCAGTAGTGTACAATAGGAAAAGAATGGTTACTTACCACGTAACTGTTGTTCTTTGAGATGTGTTGCTCATGTCCATTCCATGTAGGTGTGTGCGCGCAGCACGTACATGTTGCAGATTTTTCCCTTAGCAGTACCTGTCGGGCCAGCAGGGAGCCCCTTGGAGTGGCGGCGGTATACCGGCCGATATATACCCGTTGGCCCCCCCATCCTCTCAGTACCTTCATACTGGAATACTCCGAAGAAGGGGAGGCGGGTGGGATTTGGAATAGACATGAGCAACACATCTCGAAGAACAACAGTTATGAGGTAAGTAACTGTTCTTTCTTCGAGTGACTGCTCATGTCCATTCCATGTAGGTGACTCCAAAGTGGAACCTGAAGGAGGAGGTGTCGGAGTTTTAACCTTCTACAGAATGGAGGACCACCCTGCCCAGGGTGGTATCCTTTCTGGCCTGATGTGACAGTGCGTAGTGGTTGGCGAAGGTGTGGACGGAGGACTAAGTGGCAGCCCTGCAGATGTCCAGGATGGGACCTGTGCCGTGAAGGAAGCCATTGCCTTCAAAGAGAGGTAGGGGGGGGTGTGTGTGTGTGTGTGTGTGTGTGTGTGTGTGTGTGAAAATATATTTTCATTATAGCAACCTCACTGTTTTTGGGGTGTGGGTGTGTGTGTGTGTGTGTGTGTGTGTGTGTGTGTGTGTGTGTGTGTGTGTGTGTGTGTGTGTGTGTGTGTGTGTGTGTGTGTGTGTAGGGGAGGGGGGACTGGGACCCCTGCTAGAGCGTAGCACTCGGATGCATGCAGTGATCCATGAGGATATCCTTTGTGTGGAGACTGGCTGTCCTCTTGAGTGTTCTGCAATGGCCACAAAAAGTTGTGGTGATTTACGGAAGGGCTTTGTCCTGTCTAAATAAAAGGCTAAGGCCCTCCTGATGTCTAGGGTGTGCAGTGCCTGCTCCTTCCCTGACGTGTGAGGTTTGTGGTAAAACACTGGCAGGAATATGTCCTGAGACACATAAAAGGACACCACCACCTTAGGCAAGAAGGCAGGGTGGGGTCATAGTCTGACTTTATCCTTAAAGAAAACTGTATAGGGGGGGATCTGAAGTAAGCGCTCACAGTTCGGACACCCGCCTAGCTGATGTGATCACTACCAGGAGGGATACCTTGTAGGACAGGTGTATTCACGAACACTTTGCCAGGGGCTCAAACAGGGGCCCTATGAGTTTGGAAAGGACCAGATTGAGATCCCATTGAGGGATGGGCTGTCATACAAGTGGGTAAAGTCTATCTAGCCCCTTCAGGAACCTGTTTACCATTGGATCAGCAAACAGAGTCTTTCCCCTGTCTCCAGGGTGGAAGGGAGAGATGGCCACCAAGTGGACCTTAATCAAGGAAGAGGAGAGTCCCTGATGCCTGAGATCTAAAAGGTAGTCCAGGATCAGGGGAATTGGGGCCTCCCTTGGGGAAACCCCTTTGTGGGAAGCCCAGATGTAGAACTGCTTCCATTTAGCCATGTATGTAGCCCTAGTGGAAGGTTTCCTACTGCCTAACAGAACTTCCTGATCCCGAGCCAACATTGGAGCTCCGCCGCTGTCAGCCACAGAGCTTCCATGCCATCAGGTGCAGGAAGTGCCAGAGTCCTGGGTGATCAGGTCCGGGAGCAACAGAAGGGGTACAGGCATCTTGCATGACAGGCTAAGAAGGGCTGAGAACCAATGATGTCTGGGCCATGCTGGGGCAATGAGAATTACAGACGCCTTGAACTCCTGCACTCGTAGGTGAACCCTGTGGACTTGTGGGAACAGTGGGAAGCCGTACAGTAAGCCCCTGGGCCGGGGTGGAGAAGTGCGTCTCCTAAGGAGCCCCTTCCAAATCCCATGAGGGACCAGAACCTAGGGCACTTGTTCTGCCTGGTAGTGAACAGGTCTAGTTGGGGAAACCCCCCACTCGCAGAAGATGGAGCGGGCCACTTCCTTCCTGAGGGACCACTCGTGTCCAGAAAGGCTACGTCTAGACTACAAGCCTCTTTCGAAAAAGTGCATCTAGACTACAACCAGTACTTTTGAAAAAGCAAGCCACTTTTTCGAAAGAGAGCATCCAGGCAGTCTGGATTCTCTCTTTCGAAAAAGCACAGTTTGCATTATATAGTGCCTTTTTTAGAAAGAGTACTTTCGAAAAAAGTCGTTATTCCTCGTAAAATGAGGTTTTCCAGTTGAAAAAACTGACATTCTTTCGATTTACTGTCGAAAGAGTGCAGCAGCAGTCTAGATGCAGGTAAAGATTTAAAAAAAAAAAAAGGCCACTTTTTTTCGAAAAATCCCTGTAGTCTAGACACACCCAAGAGGCCCTGCTTAACTTGTCTGCTAGGACATTTTGGGAACCCAGGAGGTAAGAGGCCATCGGGTGGATATCCGCCCCGATGCAGAGATCCCACAGGCAGATTGCCTCCTGACACAGATGGGGAGAGCAAGCCCCACCCTATCTGTTTATATACGACACCACCATCGTGTTGTCTGATAAGATAAGGGCTGACCTGCCCCTGAGGTGGGGAAGAAAAGCTGCACAGGCCAGGCGGACTGCTCGGAGTTCCTTGACATAGATGTGCAGGGAGAGATTGTCCTGGAACCACATACCTTGCATCCGCATGACCCCCAGATACGCTCCCTAACCGATGTCCGACATCTGTCACGAGTCGGATGCTTGGTACAGGTCTGGAGAAGGGGACTCCTGCACAGACCTCCTCCTGATGAGTCCACCAAGTCAGCAAGTGGAGGACAGTATTGGGAACCATCACTACCCTGTTCCACGGGTGGAAAGCCAGGTAGTGGACTCATGCCAGCCACATTTGCAATGGGTGCATGCGAAGTCTGGTGTGTTGCACGATGTATGTGCACACGGCCATTAGACCTCGGAAAAGCATACAGGCCCTGGCTGTGGTCATTGGGAAATTTTTGCAGTTCCTGGATGGCGGACTATATCTCCAGAAAGTGAGTCCTGGGGAGGGAAGCCTTTGCCAATATCGAGTCCAGGTTGGCACCTATGAACTCTATTATCGGGGTTGGAATTAGAGTTGATTTGTCCACATTTAGGAGTAAGCCTAGCTCCCTGAAGAGATTCCAGACCGTGGTGATGTGGGCCCGCACCTGGTTCTCAGACCGTCTCCTCAGGAGCCAGTTGTCTAGATGGGGAACACCTGAATGCCCCATCTCCGTAGAGCAGCGGCCACGACTGCCATACATTTGGTAAAGACCTGAGAGGCTGTAAAAATACCAAAGGGAAGAGCCATCAACTGGTAGTGGTGGTCCCTGCCCACCGTAAAGTGGAGGAATCGCCGGTGGTGAGGTGAGGAGTGATGGAAATGTGGAAGGTAGGTGTCTTGCAGATTGAGGGCAGCATACCAGACTCTGGGAGCTAATGAAGGGATTATAGATGCCAAGATTACCATCTTGAATTTGGTTTTGACAATAATGGAGTTGAGACCTTTGAAGTCCAGGATGGGGCAAAAGCCTCTCTTGGCTTTCGGGACCAGGAAATACCAGGAGTAGAAACCCTGCCCAAAAACTCAGAGGGAACCAGCTCTGTGTCTCCCAGAGTGAGAAGGTGGAGGGGTCCCTGAAAAGGGACAGGGTTAGAGGGTGGGAAGGGGGGGGGGGCAAATGGAACGGGATGGCGTATCCCCCTTCCCCTATTTCCGGGACCCACTGGTCCAATGTAATGGAACGTCTGGCCTAGTGGAAAGGGAATAAACATTCCCGGAAGGTAAGTGGGGAGACTGGTATGTTGCCCTCAGGCATCCCCTCAAAATCCTTGACGAGGCCCAGAGGGTTTGTTAAGTGGCCCCTGGCCCTGGCCCTTCCGGCTCCTGTGGCGGGGGAAGTCAGGACGTGGGGCCCGTTGGGGCAGTCTGAGGGTGTTCCTGCCTGAGAACTAATGCCTCTGGCTAGCTGGTGTGTGCATGCCCAAGGACTTAAGTGTGGCAAGGGTGTCCTTTGGGCCACGGAGGCGCTGGTCCGTCTGTTCAGAGAACAGCGAGGGGACCTTGAAAGGAAAGTCCTGGATAGTATTTTTGGAGCTCCAGGGGCACCCCAGACCCTTGTAGCCAGGAGATGCGGCGTAGAACTACTCCTGTGGCCATGGCACGGGCAGCAGCATCAGCCGCATCAAGGACTGCCTGGAGTACTGCCCTGGAGATCGCTCTTCCCTCCTCACGGAGGGCCCTGAACTCCGGACGGGAGTCTCTTGGGAGCAGGTCTGTGAACTTGTCCATGGAGGCCCAAGTGTTGCACACGTACCGTGACAACAGGACCTGCTGGTTGGCAATAGGGAGCTAGATGTCCCCGGACATGTAGGCCTTCCCACCCAGAAGGTCTGTCTTTTTGGCCTCGCTGTTCTTGGGGGTGGCAGCCAGTTGCCCGTCTCTTCCTCTGGTTGAGAGCCTGCACCACCAGTGATCCCGGGGGCAGGTGGAAGAACAGGTACTCGTTGCCCTTCTGAGGCACGAAATATCACTGCTTGGCCCTTTTGTCTGTTGGCGGTATGGAGATGTTGGTCACCATTTTATTAATCGTTGGGGCCACTCTGGTGAGGGTTGGACTGGAGGATATTGACCATGTCAATCCTCACACACTTTCTCGGCTTGGACCCCCAGGCTCTGTGCCAGTTGGCAAAGGAAGTCTTGGTGTCCATCGAGGGCATGGATGGAAAGATATCCCTTAGGGCCTCATCCAGGGAGGATGGCAATGACCCCTTTTGGGCCACCTCCATGGGAGCCACCATTTGCGAGGGGGCTTACGAAGTCCCCCCCACAGATTGTGGTAGTGGCTGGCTTGGTGGAGCCCCGCTTACTGATGGCCTTGGGGATGCCTGACCAAGAGGTAGTGACTACGCTGACTACGGAGATCAAGCCAGGGGAGTTGCCGATGGGGGCCCCCACCCCCAAGATGACTGACCCTGCTCTTGAAAGATCTGCACCCTGGCTCTGGTGGTAGGGCCAGAGGGTCCAGAATGGCCACAGACTCGGAGGTTTTGGGGGCCAGGTTTCTTGCATCACCGGCACTGGAACCAGCTGTGCATAATGCTGCTGATGGTGGTGAGCAGAGGAGCTGTGGTGCTGCGAGCGGAGCCGGTGCTGACAGTGGGATCTGGAGCCTCTTGACAACCAAGTTGATTCTGCCTCTGAGTTGATTGAGTATTCTGAAGCAGACCAGTGGGGCCGTCAGGGGTTCTGCCAAGGTTGCCGACGCCTGAGTGTGTCTGGCCCTCGACTCAGGTTTGCTGCAGTGCCAGGGAGGTGGGGATGGCATAGCTGGGCCTGGGACCAGTAAGCTCTAGGCGGACGTAGAAGCCGCGGAGCTGGATGCCATAGACAGTACCACATGGTGGTATCGTGTCAGTGCCGGGCCCAGTGCCGTGTCCTGTCTGGTACCGGGGCCGAGTTGGTCACCAGTGCCGGAGTTGTGGGCTGCACCGACTGGTGTTTTCTGGCGTTCTAGACTACGTCATCGGACGCCCTCGACGTCAGTCAGTGCCTGCCATTCCCATGACCTCTGGTGAGGTCGGTGCTGGGGGAGGTGAGAGGGACGACTCAATCAAGTCTCTGGCCGCCTCCAAGGCCTCTGGAGTAGAGGATTCTGGGAAGTCCCCCAGTGGGCTGAGCTCTTGGTATGGGGATAAAGGTCTGCCCAAGCGAGATGGTCTGGGTTCAGCACTTGATGGTGCCACGTGCCCCACTGAAGGGCGCATGGAGGGCACACACCTCGGAGGTGATCTACCTCTTGTTAGGCCTTACTACTTCTGCGGCACCGGGGACTGTGACCGGTGCCAAAGCTTCTGTGGTACCGGGGAGGCACAAGAGTGTGCTGAAGCCGGCGCGCTCTGCGATGCCTGTACCAGGTCCGATGCCGGTGCCAGTCTTAGAGCTGCCTCCATGAGAATGATCTTGAAGCATGATTCTCTCTCCCGCTTCGTGCAGGGCTTGAAAGCTTTACAAATCTTGCAGGCCTCTGAAAAGTGAGCCTCTCCCATGCACTTCAGGCAAGATGAATGTGGAGTGCCACAGGGCATGGGCCGGTGGCACTTTTTGCAAGGTTTGAATCCTTGCAGTCTGGGCATGTGCAGCAGCGGTAAACAAAACACAGATACTACTATAACTCAATTTACAACTTTTAACAGATAATTAACTGATAACAGGTAACAAAGAACTACTTAAGTACTAGCAGCATTTGCTTAAGCAAGAGCTAAGGGGCATTCCAAGGACCCCCACCACTGTAAGAAGGAACTGAGGGGGGGGGGCAGCAGGGATATATATGGGCCGGTATACCTGTGCCACTCCAGGAGGCTCCCTGGTGGCCTGACGTGTATTGCTGAGGAAAAAAAATCTCCGACGACATGTGCACGCCGCCCACGCACACCTACATGGAACGGCTATGAGCAATCACTCGAAGAAGAACTAGTTTTCCTCTACCAGGACAATGCTACAACATTTCAGTTTAGTCACAATCCAGTACTACAGGAGTTGCCAAAATTAATATAGTGGCTCTTCTAGTTAACAGTGTAGATGCTGCATCAAAATACAAATGCTAAGGTATGTATGTATGAATAAACGAAAAAGAGTGCTTAGGAGCTGCAGAATATTGATAATGCAGTATTTACAGCAACAAAATGTCATGGCAGGTTAGTCTACTATAGACTTAGCATTTAAATGCTAACAGCCTTTTAAACACAAACAATTCTAGAAGAACGGTTTCTCAGCTAAAAAAAGCAGTAACTTTTTAACTCAAGAGAAGGACGGTTGTGATTAACTCATACAGGTTTTGCTGCACATACAAGCCCTTTTCCTGGTAGTTTGACAGTATTAATTATTTTGAATATTCAATACTTAAATCCAAGGCAGAGGTGAGATAAAGCTAGCAAATACTTGAGTTGAAAGTTCCTGCATAGAGCAATACACTTAAAACTTTCAATAATCTATAAGTGATTATTTCCTTATTGTTCCTTGATTAGTCAGCCAAAGAACTATGCAGGCAGCATTCTTTTCAAATCAATAGTGATTGATAAAGTTACCTGGAAGGGGATGGATAATGACACCATTAATTATATATTAAATTTATTTTCCATAACTTTTCACATCTTACAGCCACCAGGTAAAGTTAATTTAGAAAAATTTAGCTGTTATAGTCCCAAGGTTACATTTTAAGTTAGACTTCTAATTTAGTGGCAATTAGATGGAGTTTCCTGGATGAAAGATGCACTACTAGGTCTCAGGCAAATCTTTCAGCTTTAAAATTTACTCTGTCTACCTTCTTTTCCATTAATATAATCTTCTCTTCCTCAGATCAAGTGCCTACAGATACTGACACGTTCCAGGAATTAAATGTAAAAGCATTTATGGCACCATCCAGCTACTAACTTTTAGAGAAAAGGGAAACCCTTCTTCCAACTAAAGGGAAAGTAACAAAACAACTTTTGAATCTCATGTCAAGGGAATTGATTTTATAAGAAATATTCCTAAAAGGCTACCCAACTGTGAATGATTACAAGAGCTAAAAATAGTCAAAAAAGGTTACCCTGGGTCAAAGACGCCTGGCGTGCGACAAGTTGCTCCTGAGCAGGACTGTAACATCATTAGTCGATAGTTCATCTTCTCTAAAATTTCCTGGTCTATTGTTTTAGCAATGTTAGTAAGCTGGTGTGGGTCTGCAGTCAAGTTGTAGACTTCCACAAAAACCTGGTTAAGTGGGAAAAATAGTTGCACTTTTTGTATTAAAATGTCAGGTATTATAAATAGAATACTAGCTATTCTGTATGTGGGGAAACATATGCTGGTAGTGTAACAGCTTATTTTCTACTGCTATAGTTTTAAATTATATCTTCAGTTAGCCTGTAGTACACATCAAATGCCTATCAGACACCCATGAACTGGATCCTTCCCTAAAGAAGTTCACAATGTCAGGACAGACTTGAGGGAGCAGTGGCAATGAAGTGAATATTCATAAGTAAATTATATGCACATCAAATGTTAGGTTTGTCATCTCATGAAAGAATCCTAAGATAAGCATATGTAGGTAATGACAATCCCATGTGTGTAGATAGTCCTGGTTAAGGAAATTCCCAAAGAGCACATCTTTTCACCAAGACAATGCACATAACCAAGAATTGATCATGGTTGTTAGGGAGTGAAAACAGGGAGAGGATTAAAGAGAAGAGCTGGAACTGTTCATGAAGCTAACATCCTACTAATGAGATTTGAATTTTGCTTCTAAATGTAGGAAAAGTTTGTGTCCTAATGACACAGATCCTCTTAAGCCAACTGTTCTAAATCTTTCTGTAGAGCTGGCCCTGTGTTTTCAGACCAGACAGCTGCATTCCTCCAATGTTAACAGTGATTAACCTATTAGAATGCAGCTTATGGTCATGGGTATGGCCTAAGTTAGCTGTAGAAATGTGATCTCCCCAACAATAGGCTTTAAACAATTTGGAAGTGCTCAAACAGATTTTATATGGTACTCTTTTCCTAGCAGAATTCAAGTCCTCATCCCCCCTAACTTCCCTGTCAATGAGATATCTGCTGAAGTTGCACTCTAATACTAAATGAGCGTTTTGTTGCAATGGGTTAGAATGAAGGTTATTCATTTTTCATCTGCACTTTATAAATTCACAGGCAAAAATTAAAATGTACTAAGGTTGCAAATGCTTTTTTGCTGACAACACCACACACTTGCACTGTGTGAGAACTTGCTAGTAATGTGCAGTAAGCTGTGACATACAGGGCTAGCCACTAGTTTAGTCTATGATATACAATAAAGTTGTCTCTATCATTTAGATATGTAAGATCAAATTCAGCTCTGCTGCATCTCCCACTTACATCAAAGGAGAATTTGGCCCTAGATAATTTAACCCATTCTCCCATCGTGATCATGCAGTATGTTTTGGTTAACTATCATGCAGTATGTTTTGGTTAACTATTTCCACCAACAGTTAAAAAAAACTGACTATTTAGCCTACAAGTGAAGCTACAGTCTCATTTTCAGACTAGTTTATGCCAACCTTGAGAGTAGATAAACTTTGCAGACAGACATCAATGGAGTTACACTATAACAGATGTTAATTAATCTCAAACAGTGAGAACTGCAAGAAAACTGAATATTTAACACACTGCATCATTAAAATAAATGACAGAAAGTATTACCTCCCGGTCATCAAATTCACAGTACTGCAAATCCCATAAAGCTGACAGTGTCCTCACACAAGCGTAAGTGTTATTATATGAATCTTCACACACACAGTCTGGAAAACAATGCTGCAAAGCAACAGAGATTAAACAAAAAAGGAAGTAAGAAAGAATGTTCATGCTCATGGTGAAACTGGAAGCAACAATTCTCTTGCCAGAACTGATACTTGCTAAAGGCAGGTGTAAGTAGTTCATGGACACTAGACAAAAAGCTGAATATTAAATGTTAAAAATCCCAGGCAGAGATTTATAGGACAAAAATACCCATTTTTCTAAAATTAGACAAGGTCACTATCTCAGGGAAATTTTTAAAACGGGAGATAAATACCAAGAAGCTGTCTTGTGAATTAATACACTAGCCCAGGAAATGAAAACAATACTCAATATCCTAAACAGGCTACTCACTAGCCCAGGAAATGAAAACAATACTCAATATCCCAAACAGGCTACTCAGACAGAGTGGGAATACAACCATAAAATGGAACATTACAGTTGGGTCTATTTACAGTAAGCATTAGTTTGACAGAATTACAGAAAATAGTATACTGCAGAATGTGGCTACCTATTTATTGGTTTCAAATCAACATCTGATTATGTCATGTGGCCACCATCTTTTCAATGGGATTCAGAGGCACTAGTTATTTAAAAAAAATCAAAGAGGCAGATATTCAGCAATTCAAAAAACATTCTACCCTGAACTGGACACGATGTATTCAGAAGAGGCCTAGTTCCTGCTATCCTGCAGATCAAAAAAATAGTAAAACACCTATTTTGGCACTGTTTATTGAGGAATTCATAAAACCAAAAATTTCATAAAAATTAATCTTGAAGTAACAATAGATATTGTGCATAAGTTGTGGTAGAGTATACTGCATTGCTTTCTTGTCCTTCAAGCCATGGCAAAGGAATTTCCAATGTTCTGAAGACATTAGAATTTTAAGAGGTATCAAGGAAAACTCGTTTGCAAAACTGGTTGTTGTAAGACTGGTGTTTGCAAAAATCAAAATCCAGATCCCCCACATCACTGGAAAACACAATTTCTATGCTACTAACGGGCCTTACTCTGAACTGAGGTTTTAGTTTCCGTAATTTCAGAAAACATTTACAAATAATTCACATGAATTCAGCTTTGCTTACAGTAACACCAGGTCCCAGTGCGGGGCACATAGGATCGCTGCTGTTATGACCTTCTCCTTGATACTCAATCAAGACATCTGATCTCCAGGTCACATTTTTGTCTCCTCTCTAAAACAGAAATAAAGTAGTAAACTTTACTGTGTTAGCTCTTCTGACAATGCTAGAAGTAAAAATCATGCATATATGAACTGGAAGTCACACTATGGATCAAGACCCAAAAACTGATCAGTTGTTTAGGAAGTGGGTATTTTGTTTGATTTGGAGTGATAACAGTTCATATAAAAATTAACACTAACTGAAAGATTATGAACACTACAGAACAAGCTAGATTGCCAAATACCACCAAATTATAATCCAAAGTCTCCAGAAAAGGTTTTTATATAGCCTTTTGCTTTAGGGCAGTGGTCACCAACCAGTAGATCAGGATCTACCGGTAGATCTTGGAGCCTCTGACAGGTGGATCCTGACTGGTTTGGCCAGGAAGCTATCAAGCGCTGGCTGTTCAGTTGCTGTTCAGGATGTGGAAGGGAGACGAGGGGAGGTCAGGGTGTCCCTCCTCCCCCCATTTCTGTACCCTGTCTTCACAGAGAAGAGAAAATGTGTGTGTGTGTGGGGGGGGCAGAGGTGTTGTCACTTTTTACTGCTTGCAAAGTGTGGTATTTTTGGTTTTTGACTGGTCTGTGAATTTCATAATTTTCATTTCTCTCTTATGCTTAAATTTAATTCTCTGGGTAGTGAGTTCTAAAATGCCTAACCTGTCATGGCTGGAGTAATTATCCCTGTGGTAATTGCTGCTCTTGGACATGGTTGGCACCTCCCTGTAGCCCCTGAGAAGGACAGCATGTGGAGACCCCCTGCTCTGCCTTTGCCAGCAGACACTTCTCCTGCAGCTCCCATTGATCAGTAATGGGGAACCACAACTAGTAGAAGCTGTGAGTGGTGGTGCCAGGGGACTAAGGCAGGCTCACCCCGTCGTAAAGCATTTCAGAATTTAAAAGCCAAACAGTACAACCCTCAAAACAGGAGTCATTATTAACAGCAGTGCAACTAGTCAAAGAAAAAGTTAGTTTATCCTCCCTTTAGGAGGGATTTTCCAAGTTTACTGGAATGTATCAGCACTGAAATGCTATACTTGCAATCACATGACTACATTCATTAAGCTAGAAGGGTTCTGTGTGAAAATGAGGGAGAGGAGATTCTGAATGCACATCTTCCTAACCCTGAAGGATAATCTGTGTCAGAGTAATCTGTAAAATTGATCAATTGTGAATCCCGAGTAAACTCTTACCAGTAATGGCAACAGTGACATCCCATCCATCTGTGTCTTATTTAAGTCAAACCCTGCGATATCCAAAATAGTGGGACCCAAATCAATGTTTGCAACAAGCATCTGCAAAATGGTAGGACAAAGTATTACTGACACTCAAAAAGATTGATGTTCACATTGAGACTAAACATTGACAGTTTAACAACAAGAAAGTCAGGTCCCTCTATAGAACAGAAAACTAGGGTGTTGCTAGACGCTTTTACAACATATATGCCAGGCAGTGTCTGATAACTATGAAAGAATTTGAAGACCTATATTATTGCACCTTCAGGTATAATCCTACCTTGTTTGTCTGGTTTGGTTTGATCCCTGGTCCTCGAACTAGCAATGGAACTTTAATGTCAAACTCATAGAGCTGCCGTTTGTCTATCGGCAACGAAAATTGTCCTAGAAAACATTATGAAGAGAAGAATTAGACACCATTTAATTGTGGCTTAGTTTTTAAAAACTGCACCTCATATCGCTTAGTCACTGGCTTTGATGAACAGTGACTTGTTTAAACAGGTCCTTTATCTTGATATTACATGTTCAGGCCCTCAGTCCATATTCACCCACAGATTTCCTTTATGTCAGAATGTTAGTACAGTAACAGACTGACTGAACAAATTAGGCTATTTGTAAAACTTCAAACCTAACTACAAAAGACAGGGCAACTCTAAAATTGAGAAAGGAAAGAGGCGCTATAATGAAATTCACTGTAAAAATGCATTGGTAATTCAGAGCAGAAATGGAGGAAAAGTCTATATACATTACATAAAAGTCTATCATTACATTTTAGGCTCAGAACATCACATTATAAACTCTGTAGATGGGGGATGGCACTGTCGGATTGCAATCAATTCATTTAGCTTCATAGCACTGAGAAATACTGGTATTGTCTTCATTTCACAGATGTAAACAGGGATAGAAGCCAAGGAACTAAGATTTCATCAACAGTTTGTAGCAGAACAAAGGATAAGTATATTTACCTGTATGGAAGCCATTGTCTGAGGTATAAAAAATATAAGTGTTATCTAGCTCTCTGAGCAATTCCAGTTTCTTCACCAGTTTCTCTATCAAATCATCTACTGACAGTAGTGTTTGCCATCTATATAGGAGCAAAAATTGTTCCAAATTAAGTGTTTAGTATTAAATTGTGAATGGGCATTTATATTAAACTACAAATCAATTGGGACTTCTGTTATGTACGTAGGCATCTCACATCTATCACCATCTACTCTGAAAACAAACCAAATATATAGCAAGTTCCATTTTAATGTCTAAGCTGCAGTCATTTTAAAAGAGACACAGCCTTATGTTTAGTCTTATTCTGCTTTTACTCTGTAGTGCCTGAAAGGTCAAAATGCAGATTGCATTTAATCTTATCAAGAAGTAGCCATAGACCATTTCTAAAGTAATGCAAACTAGCATGTTAGTATCAGAGTGTTCTTTTGCAAGGTCACAACTTTATAAAAGCAGAACTAAAGTGTTCCTAAAAAGTATGGTCATGCTGATTTAATTTGTATTGTTGTCATACTCCCTTTTCTTCTCCCTCTTTCTGCCTTTTTCTCTTCAGCATCTGAGAAGTGACTTGTAGCTCACAAAAGCTTATGCTCCAATACCCTAATAAATGTATTAGTCTTTAAAGTGCCACTGGACTCCTTGTTGTTTTTGCTGAAACAAACTAACAAACAAACATATTTTAAACAGTTTCTATAAGAAACTGAACAAAGTAGAGTAGCAAGGTATATCCACTTCTTTATATTCCTCCCACAGTTCCATGATCCATTAATTTTGAAGCCTGCAAAACCTCTCAAGCTACTGGCCATCTTCTCAGCAAGCAGATCTCATGATAGAAACAGTGATATGTTTAATTACAAGACTAGTACATCTTCACAAAGTGCTTAGATTCAGGTTAACCAGTCAGATTTTCTTCTTGGGTTCTGAGGTCTCCCAACATACATTCAGTATTTGATTTAACTGCATAATTTTACCTGCATGCCAGTAATGACTGTAAAACTAGCTCAAGTCTCTCTTCTGCAAGATAGCAAGTTTTACCCTGTCAACATGTCCAAAATAGTCCTATTGTTTAAAGTTTTGTTAGCACTTGTTTTGTAACTTATTATTAGAATTTAGCTTTATTTTCAGTCTTTGGTATAAAAAAAGAGACTAAAAAGCTTATTTAATTTACACATTAGCTATGTCTTCATATTGTTAGAGAACAGCATTAGCTGCTGTTGCCATTTGTAATGCATCAGGAATTAGTAACTGAAAAGTGCCCAAAATCTCCTTCTACAGAGAGGCTATCCAAAAATCCTATAAGGATAACCATTATACAGATCAGCTCTGAAAACAGGTACGTAGCTATCTTCATGACGAGTGAACTCAAAGTAAGGTTGTACTGAGATTCTTCGACAGTGAATTGTGGAAGAACTGAGCTATCCTTCTGAGACAGAGGGGGAACTGTAAAAAGGCACTGGAGGACCATCAGAATTTAGCCTTCATCATCATTGAAAAGTGTACCACTTATCAGCCTAACAAAAAGGAGAACCTGGGCTCTACCTCACAGTTACAGTTATGCCAGCTAGCGCCAGCTGAAAGCACCATTCAACTTGGGTGAGAGGTGAGCCTGAGTATGGGAACAACACCTAGATGACAACTTCAGCTAACTTTGAAGACGACATATATGCCCAGGGGCAGCTCTATAATGTTTTAGATACTCTTTCTTCCACCACCTCTAGTAACAAGTTCTTCTACTTGTTCATTTTTTACTTTAATTTGCATTCTAGAGAAAGTGCAGCTTAAAGAACCCTAGTTCCTAAGTTTCAATTATTTATACTTGTTTTTTTAGACAAACAAAAAACTCCTCCATCCTATCTGAATTCAATGGGACTGCTCCAGGGAAAAGAACCTTTATTATTGACAACAATGTACAAAGAAGAGAGAACAGACTCAGATCTAAGGATAGTTGGCTAGAGGATCTAGACGGTAAGTTATTTTCTAATTTGTTAACGAAACACATTTCATATGAAAGTCATAGTAGGAATTCATTCTCTCAATGTCTTAAAAAAACTAGATTAGATCATATTCTATCAATCTGTTCATTCTGTGTGTGGGAATAGATTTTACAGTCTCACACACTAGAAACAGTAAAAGAATGAACAAGACTTCCTATACCTCTGTATGATAAATGAGAGTAACAGGTAGATACAAGAACTATCTCTGGTCTAGCATATGAGTCTGCCTAGTGAAAAAGGTAGGGGGCATGACTCTACAGGCAGCATCCAAAGAACTGCTATAAGTAATTTAGCTCTTATGGTTAAACCTATTACACACTTCGAATAGCCTCATTTATTAGCCCCTGGTGCTTAGTCTTGTCAGCAATCTTATTAAATGTTCTCAAGCAGCAGTTCCTACCTTTTCCTAAAAGCATCATCTAGAAACTGTATTGAAGAATTAGTCATTGGAGTCTTTGCTTGTCTTATTAGCCAATGCTTGTTCTGAAAGAGAACACATGAAGATTAGCACAGAAACATAAAAACGAGTTGTAAAGTGTTAAAACTTTACAGAATTATTAATTGCAACAGCAATAATTTATGACTGAAGTATTAGTATTAGAATATCAGAGTAACCTGCTATTTTAATAACAGTTCAGGTGGGAGTTAGACCCAATCTTCTTCTTCAAGCTGTGACTTGAGAACTATGACTGCAGGACAGTGTAAATGTCTGCTCAGTTTGAGAAGGACTCCATCAGATATATTTATATGGTATTTAGGAGCAAGCCTCCCAGTTTGGGTCCACAGACTTCGGCTAGCAGGACTTGAACTAACATGCAGACATTGAAAGTCCTGCTACCAGATGTCTGTGGAAGTATTTGTTATTTTTTAACAGCAGTACAAGGCTGAGAATCACTACCAGCTGCAGCACAGATATACCCGCAGGGGGCAGAAGTGCCTGGGAATCACTTTAATGGACTAGGAAAGAGAACTGTTGAAGGAGCTCTGCCTGGTAAGATCTGGAAAGGATAGCTGTTGTCTGGGGAAGATTCTCTGGACTGAGACCAGTGATGAATCTCTCTCTACCTGTTGGAAAGCCAGGAAACAGTACTGCAGGGGAGTAGTGGAGAAATGCTAGAAGAGGCCTAAGAGATCACCACCACAATAAAAAAAAGCCTAGGATAGTGGAGCAGAGTATTTTGGGGCTTAAAAGGTTTTTTGACACGACCTATTAAAGGTGATGCCCAAAATCCCTGCACTGAAGAAAAAAACAAAAAAACAAAACAAATGACAACAGTCCCTGCAATCAGAGCAGCGGGAGTAGTGGAGAAATGCTAGAAGAGGCCTAAGAGATCACCACCACAATAAAAAAAAGCCTAGGATAGTGGAGCAGAGTATTTTGGGGCTTAAAAGGTTTTTTGACACGACCTATTAAAGGTGATGCCCAAAATCCCTGCACTGAAGAAAAAAACAAAAAAACAAAACAAATGACAACAGTCCCTGCAATCAGAGCAGCGGGTAGACCCTGGTACAAGGCAAAAAAGGAGAAGACAGGCACTTTCA